TGAAACACCATGTACTTCAGTGATATATCATAGATCAGTTATGTTTTCTTGATCAAAAGTGTATTTTGATTTATACACTGAATTATTTATTTATGTGTTGTTTATCTTAGTCAGTTTGTAATACTTTTGAAAACACGAAGAGCAGTATGTTACTTGTCATACAAGCTTCATTTCTAGATCTGATGGCACTCATGATGTCACACACATGCCCGTTGTAATATTCACACTAAATGAGATTTCCATGAATAAACTCCAAAATACCTTGATCATGTGAGTGAGTGAGTTAATGCTTTACGTCACATCGGCAATATTTCAGCCATATCGTGACGAACCTTGATCATGTACACAGATTTGAAACACATACGACTCGAATTCATTATGGAGAGGTTATATTATAATAGATTCCTGTCAATCTTGCTGTTGCTAGCTTCATTTCCTGTGCAAACCCAACCTCGCTTCATATGTTTCCTGCTCTGTGCCTTTTAATCTCAATGCGAGTTCTGTGAAACTGACAAAAACTAAATACCTTAAATATTTTGGAAACTAAATTCCTGCCTTCAATCATGTCTGCATTGCCAAGAAAACAAAATTCCCCAGATTTATAGTACTAATCAAGAGAAATTATAAGATCTGAGAATTACATGTATAGCCATATCCTGTAGCAGTAAACTAGGGATATGACATCTCACCAGGTTACAGTATAATGACATGGGTGTTATGTGTTCCTGGTGCAGGATCTCTTTCCTGCATAGAGTCAAATTGAAATGGATGTACAGTATGTATAAAACACCTTACATTGCTACCTGCAAACACTCTACACATCACTTTATGTGATCCCTGCCAGTAAACACAACACACATCACTTTATGTGATCCCTGCCAGTAAACACTACACATCACTTTATGTGATCCCAATCTGTAAACACTACACATCACTTTATGTGATCCCTGCCAGTAAACACAACACACATCACTTTATGTGATCCCAATCTGTAAACACTACACATCACTTTATGTGATCCTTGCCAGTAAACACAACACACATCACTTTATGTGATCACTGTCAGTAAACAACACACATCACTTTATGTGATCACTGTCGGTAAACACAACACACATCACTTTATGTGATCACTGTCAGTAAGCACAACACACATCACTTTATGTGATCCCTGCCAGTAAGCACAAAACACATCACTTTATCTGATCCTATTCTGTATACACAACACACATCACTTTATGTGATCCCAATCTGTAAACGCAACACACATCACTTTATGTGATCCTTGCCAGTAAACACAACACACATCACTTTATGTGATCACTGTCAGTAAACAACACACATCACTTTATGTGATCACTGTCGGTAAACACAACACACATCACTTTATGTGATCACTGTCAGTAAACACAACACACATCACTTTATGTGATCCCTGCCAGTAAGCACAAAACACATCACTTTATCTGATCCTATTCTGTATACACAACACACATCACTTTATGTGATCCCAATCTGTAAACGCAACACACATCACTTTATGTGATCCTTGCCAGTAAACACAACACACATCACTTTATGTGATCCCTGCCAGTAAACACTACACATCACTTTATGTGATCCCTGCCAGTAAACACAACACACATCACTTTATGTGATCACTGTCAGTAAACACAACACACATCACTTTATGTGATCCCAATCTGTAAACACTACACATCACTTTATGTGATCACTGTCAGTAACACAACACACATCACTTTATGTGATCACTGTCAGTAAACACAACACACATCACTTTATGTGATCCCTGCCAGTAAGCACAAAACACATCACTTTATCTGATCCTATTCTGTATACACAACACACATCACTTTATGTGATCCCAGTCTGTAAACGCAACACACATAACTTTATGTGATCCTTGTCAGGAAATACACCACACATCACTTTATGTGATCCCTGCCAGTAAACACAACACACATCACTTTATGTGATCACTATCAGTAAATACAACATGCATCACTTTATGTGATCCTATTCTGTATACACAACACACATCACTTTATGTGATCCAAATCTGTAAACGCAACACATAACTTTATGTGATCCTTGTCAGTAAACACAACACATATCACTTTTTGTGATCCTTGTCAGTAAACACAACACACATCACTTTATGTGATCACTGTCAGTAAACACAACACACATCACTTTATGTGATCCTAATCTGTAAACACAACACACATCACTTTATGTGATCACTGTCAGTAACACAACACACATCACTTTATGTGATCACTGTCAGTAAACACAACACACATCACTTCATGTGATCACTGTCAGTAAACACAACACACATCACTTTATGTGATCACTGTCAGTAAACACAACACACATCACTTCATGTGATCACTATCAGTAAATACAACACACATCACTTGATGTGATCCCTGCCAGTAAGCGCAACACACATCACTTTATGTGATCACTGTCAGTAAACACAACACACATCACTTTATGTGATCACTGTCAGTAAACACAACACACATCATGTTATGTGATCCTTGCCAGTAAACACGACACACATCACTTTATGTGATCACTATCAGTAAATACAACACACATCACTTGATGTGATCCCTGCCAGTAAACACTACACATCACTTTATGTGATCCCTGCCAGTAAACACAACACACATCACTTTATGTGATCACTGTCAGTAAACACAACACACATCACTTTATGTGATCCCAATCTGTAAACACTACACATCACTTTATGTGATCACTGTCAGTAACACAACACACATCACTTTATGTGATCACTGTCAGTAAACACAACACACATCACTTTATGTGATCCCTGCCAGTAAGCACAAAACACATCACTTTATCTGATCCTATTCTGTATACACAACACACATCACTTTATGTGATCCCAGTCTGTAAACGCAACACACATAACTTTATGTGATCCTTGTCAGGAAATACACCACACATCACTTTATGTGATCCCTGCCAGTAAACACAACACACATCACTTTATGTGATCACTATCAGTAAATACAACATGCATCACTTTATGTGATCCTATTCTGTATACACAACACACATCACTTTATGTGATCCAAATCTGTAAACGCAACACATAACTTTATGTGATCCTTGTCAGTAAACACAACACATATCACTTTTTGTGATCCTTGTCAGTAAACACAACACACATCACTTTATGTGATCACTGTCAGTAAACACAACACACATCACTTTATGTGATCCTAATCTGTAAACACAACACACATCACTTTATGTGATCACTGTCAGTAACACAACACACATCACTTTATGTGATCACTGTCAGTAAACACAACACACATCACTTCATGTGATCACTGTCAGTAAACACAACACACATCACTTTATGTGATCACTGTCAGTAAACACAACACACATCACTTCATGTGATCACTATCAGTAAATACAACACACATCACTTGATGTGATCCCTGCCAGTAAGCGCAACACACATCACTTTATGTGATCACTGTCAGTAAACACAACACACATCACTTTATGTGATCACTGTCAGTAAACACAACACACATCATGTTATGTGATCCTTGCCAGTAAACACGACACACATCACTTTATGTGATCACTATCAGTAAATACAACACACATCACTTGATGTGATCCCTGCCAGTAAGCGCAACACACATCACTTTATGTGATCACTATCAGTAAACACAACACACATCACTTTATGTGATCACTGTCAGTAAACGCAACACACAACACTTTATGTGATCACTATCAGTAAACACAACACACATCACGTTATGTGATCCTTGCCAGTAAACACAACACATATCACTTTTTGTGATCCTTGTCAGTAAACACAACACACATCACTTTATGTGATCACTGTCAGTAAACACAACACACATCACTTTATGTGATCCTAATCTGTAAACACAACACACATCACTTTATGTGATCACTGTCAGTAACACAACACACATCACTTTATGTGATCACTGTCAGTAAACACAACACACATCACTTCATGTGATCACTGTCAGTAAACACAACACACATCACTTTATGTGATCACTGTCAGTAAACACAACACACATCACTTCATGTGATCACTATCAGTAAATACAACACACATCACTTGATGTGATCCCTGCCAGTAAGCGCAACACACATCACTTTATGTGATCACTGTCAGTAAACACAACACACATCACTTTATGTGATCACTGTCAGTAAACACAACACACATCATGTTATGTGATCCTTGCCAGTAAACACGACACACATCACTTTATGTGATCACTATCAGTAAATACAACACACATCACTTGATGTGATCCCTGCCAGTAAGCGCAACACACATCACTTTATGTGATCACTATCAGTAAACACAACACACATCACTTTATGTGATCACTGTCAGTAAACGCAACACACAACACTTTATGTGATCACTATCAGTAAACACAACACACATCACGTTATGTGATCCTTGCCAGTAAACACGACACACATCACTTTATGTGATCACTATCAGTAAATACAACACACATCACTTGAAGTGATCACTGTCAGTAAACACAACACACATCACTTTATGTGATCACTGTCAGTAAACACAACAGACATCACTTTATGTGATCCGTGTCAGTAAACATGACACACATCACTTTGTGATCCCTGCCAGTAAACACGACACACATCACTTTATGTGATCACTGCCAGTAAACTAGACACACATCACTTTCCATGATATCCTGTCAGTAAAGACAGCATACATCACTTTGTGTGAGTCCTGCAAGCACTTTCAAGTTATTCAGCACAAACTGCTTACTATCATGAACAAGAAAAAACTTTCCTAAAAAGCTCCATTCAAGAATGGCTAGAAGCATCTTGATGACTGACACAACTTTCTGAGAGACTCCTTCTGAGAATGTCCATTTTCTCTGTGTTATCAGACACAGATCTCCTGGCAACACAGGATGGAGCCTCACTCTCACACCAACGACAACCTGGAGTTTGTACTTTGCCGGCTACGTTCAGAACAGAGTGCGATGACCAGACAAATGATACCATGATGCTTCAGCAGACCTTCAGTCTCCGAAAAGATGACACGAGTCCATCACGTGATGCTGCAACAAAAGGATGTAGCCCACCGATTGCAAGAAAACCAGGACCGAACGTTCGCACCGACTCCATGGTCGTTCATATCTCTGCATCAATGAAAAAAGTTCGCATTACCCAGAGTCCTGCTGCTGATGATGACAGTGATCCAACATGTCGGAGTGACGATGATTATGATAATGATGATGACAATCAGAGTGGTACTTTGTTTTCCTGATAGCATGTGCAAGCACCATGCCCTAGAGAGTGACTAGCTATACCCTATACTAACAGTGCCTGATCTGTAGGGCTGCACTATATGAGCACATAAATGCCATTGATAAACTAACAAAACAACATTATAAAGTGTTTGTGTTATATTCTAATCAGGGATAAGAGGTATTTGGCATTTAATCAAACTCTACAAGATTATCAGTTGGTTTCTCAATACAATTTCATGATATAGATTCTACATATATATAATATCAAAGAATTGAGATTATCAAATTACAGGAGGTTTGAAATCAAACATTTAAATATTCATATTTATAACTAAGAAACCTTAAAGGAGAGATCAATATGATTTATTCTTTTTGAGTGGTGTAGTGCTTATGATATGGCATGTGTTTGACATTCATTTCTGTCCATCTGTCACTAACAATTTAGACATCTTTTATGTGTGTGCTGTGATATGGCTGAAATATTGCTAAAGTATGTGTAAAACAATACTCACTCACTCACTTTATATGAGTTTGACCTTTTAGTGACCTGACCAAATGTATTATGTTGGCACCTATGGCAAAACTCTAAGCCCATTGAAAGTAAGCCTGACTCTCTCTTCATCATTAGAATATAGGAAGTTATCTCTTAAAACGTGTGAAATTATATGACAGTTATTTATTGTTGCTCGTGCTCAGCTTGCCTTGCATGCAGCGCATGTTGCTTGTGCAGGTGTTTGCTTTTCTCACATCGGTGTGATGTTTAGTTGGTGTTTGTTATTGATAATGTTGCTTCTTGTGATTGTTGGGGGAAGCGGTATGTTTATAATGCAAATGAAATTGTCATACCAGCATTTAATTACTATCAAGGTGAGAACAACAGTTACCAGAATAACAGTTGAAAAAAATTATTTCGTCCACCATACATTATTATTCATATTTTTCTTGACGATTTTTGACATACTGCATCATGCATATTTATGCATATTTAAGGAGATTGCATTTAATTTGTCTTCACAGCACGTGTCATGATTGATCTTGTGTAATGTATTTCTTAGGATGATGGAATAGGTGGATTACTCTCAATGGATGCCTCCATCTTCCCGAGGCAAGAGAGTTAACTGACTTTAAAAATCCAGTTTCCACCCTTGCTGAACTAGGCTGAAATTCCTGGGCTCACCACCAGTGACTATTTCGAGTTATGTCCCTTAATTCTGTGCCTCTCCTATTTACCAATCAGATTCCTCCTCTCATATCACTTGCATTTGCTTCAAACAAAACGTCAGCGCCCGCCCTCGATAATCAACATCTATATTTTGATAAAATGGTTCTAACATTGCAAAGTGCATCAAATCACGTGATCACCTTGATTAAAAACATGAAAAGATTTTGAAAATATCTGTTGACAACGAGTTGATGGTGCAAATGCTTTGCAAATCCTGCAATCGACCAAAATCTGCATGACAATTTATGAACTGGATTTTGATTTCATTGCTTGATTGTGATTGGACTATGCATAGACTCGTTAGTCCAGCCAAAATATAACTCCATAATTCCAGCCTAGTTCGGAAAGGGTGGAAACTGGACTTTTATAGTCAGTTAACTCCCTTGCCTCGGGAAGATGGGTTGTCTCTGGAGCTGCTCAGAGCAGATACTTTGCCCAAAGTCGGCGGCAAATGTCAGTAGACATTCATTTTACTTGTAACTAATGTAATGGTTTTGTAGAGGTTACTTGTATATCACTGCATGATAACAGGTCCAATGAAAAGGAAGAGGCTAGCATGCTTAATTCTAAACTATTGTTTTGAATGCATTGTTGTATACCTTTGAAAATATGAGAAAAAAGTACAAAATAAAATTTAAATCACAGTTTTTAACAAAAATTTGATTTCTTCCAAATTTGACTGCCAATTGTGCTTAGTTTGGAATCCCCGGTAGATCCCTGGTGTGACAGGTGTATGCCATCTCCCTGAGTTGCCTCCCTTAGTGACTGGCCATTTGATGTTCTGAGGGAGGCCTGGAATTGTTTTGAAATCAGTAATCTGCCCCAAAAGTGCTGGGATAAAATGGATCTGTCGTCAGGTTTTTCCCACAGAAAGAGATTGTTCACTGGCCATGGTCTTACAAATATAGAGTTTTAGGTCCAAAATAATAACTTCTTTCAGAGGCATTTTTTAGAAGTTGATGGATGACAAAGTAGACACACTTATATGTTATAAATAGAGACCACACAGTAGACCATATTTATATATTATAAAGAAGCTGTTGTTAATAAATTGTGCCAACCTTGTTTAGCTCCTCCTATCAGAGCAAAATATTTTTTTGAATCTTGGACAGGAAAAGATTCTGTCTGAAACCAACATTCCAGGCCACAATATTAATTAAATATACAATTTAGTAGCAAATCCTTTAGGATGAAATATGTACTAAAGTGAGGAAAAAAGATGACAATCAATAATTCAAATGATAGTACCTAAAACAAGAATTCTTAAAGGTGTATGATTTTTCCCCTCTAGTATAACAATTTACTGTGCAGAGTCGATTGTGCCAAGGGAATCTAACTGTGAGTTTGAATCACGCTGATAATGATCCAATGTTTGTAGGCTTCGCCAACGTCTGTGCGTAACCTACATCACTTGTCTCATGGGTAGACGTCGAGTCTTCGCAGACAGGCATGCAGTAACATTTCAGCAGGACAACATCTTGGTTGAATGGGGGGCACAGGTGGCCCAGTCATCTAAGGCGCCGCAATTCACTGTGCAGAGTTGCGTCCCTTGGGCACGCCAGAAACCTATGATTGTGGGTTCGAATCCCGGTTCGCCCCGATTATGTTTCTAGGTTTGTCAGCACCATACCCGTGCTCGTGGGTTTCATCGAAGTGGTACACGTCTGAGACCTGCATCACTTCGTGCTTTCCTCCCACATTAAGCTGACACGCCGTGATATACACGCCGGGTAACTGGAAAACTGTTAAAAGCAGCGTTAAACCAAACTCACTCACTCACTCACTCTTGGTTGAATGTATCTCACAAAACTAAAAAGTATTTGAGTAAATATTGTAGAGGCCTTGGCTGTTTTTACACAAAGTGTACACTAAGCCATTTTTAAAATGGGCGCTCCATGGGCTTTATGTCTACAGTGTGCCATACACCGTATTCACCATAGTAAGCACCCTGGGCACTTAGAAAATTTACAAAGGGAGGGACTAGCTTAAAACCATACACTGCGAATTAATGTTTTGTCAGATATCGAGCACTAGTGAACAAAGTTCATATGTTGGTGGCAATAATAGTTTTGATAATACCGGTAGTTACTGGGAAATATAAACCCCTTCTGCGATGCTGTTTTTTAAAAAAAAAGTATTATATTCACAAGAAAATACGGACTGTCATGTAAATGTTCTGTCTTAGTAGAGGGTGCTTATAAAGATTACCTACAGATTGGCCTCGAAGTTGGTCAGGGGTTGCTTTTTGGAGCAGGGTGCTTAATACGACGAATACGGTAAGTTAAAATGAATTACTGTTCCAAGTGGCACTGAACCCAGATGCCGGGGTAAAAGAGTGTGAGCAGATACCACAAAGGGCTGTGAGGAAGCCTCGTGGTTAAAGTTTTTCCTTGTCATGCTGAAGCCCCGGGTTCGATTCCCTACATGGGTACAATGTGCGAGGCCCTTTTCAGGTTTCCCCTGCTGTGAGATTGCTGGAATATTGCTAAAAGCGGTGTAAAACCATACTTGCTCACTCACTCCATTGTCTCAATACACGATAATTTATATACACAACAGATATTCATTTACACTAGAGCTGATTGTGTATGTAACTCACAAATATTTAACACAAGCTAACTCATTTTGATATCAAGATGTGCATTTGCAGAAATAAAGATGTGTAAATAAAAATTAAGACTACATTTTCTTATGTTGTTGTTAAAGTTCAGGGCCTCGTTACACAAAGCAATTGTAGAGCTACGACTGTTGGAAAGTCTATCTTAAAGTATGGGAGTTACGATCATCTTAGCGCTACGACTGTCGTAAGTCTATGTTAAAGTATGGGAGTTACGATCATCTTAGCGCTACGACTGTCGTAAGTCTATGTTAAAGTATGGGAGTTAAGATCATCTTAGAGCTACGACTGTCGTAAGTCTATGTTAAAGTATGGGAGTTACGATCATCTTAGCGCTACGATCGGCTTTGTGGAACTGGGCCCAGGTGTGTGACTTTATCTGAGAGGTATCTTTGTCTGGAAGTGTCGTAGGGAACAAATTCAGATTTTGTGATATATTCTGGGCCCGTTCCATAAAGCCATCTTAGCGCAAAGGTGATCGTACCTCCCATACTTTAACACTGGCTTACGATAGTCGTAGCGCTAAGATCGCTTTGTGGAACGGGGCCCTGATATTTATATGATGACTAAATAATTTTCGGTTCATTGGTTTGTGAATAGAAAATACGAAGTTTTTGTAAGAATCTGCATAATCTGTTAAATATGTGAGTTCGGCAAAGTCAGTCTTAATGTAGGTGATGGACCAGGCTAGTTATTTTGGCAGTGGCCATTGTACAACAGAAACATTCAGGTTTCACATTACATTGTAATCATGGACCATCATGGAGGAGCCATTGGACTAACACTCAGTCTCTGAAAATATATAATTGTGATAGAAACAAATAACTCCATTTATATTGAAAAGGAGCACCAGTGAGATGGAAGATTCAGAATCTGAAGAAAATCTAGACTTGTTTCATTTAGGGTTTTAGCATTATGGAAAGGGCTGGGTGGAAGGGAAAATAATATGGCTCAGGGACTGTGAGACAAAGGAGCCATTAGCCATTGTAGGACAGAAAAATAGGTTTAACATTATGTTGTCATCATCAAGCATCTTGGAGGAGCCGTTACTACAACTTCTACTCATAGTGCTAAGATTGTTTCAACCCTGGACCTTATTAAGTATGCCATGGTACTCTGAAGGCATGGATGGACTCTATCACTGATTGTCTGCTCGGGATA